CATAGAATCCATCTGGGATTGTGGCCCATTAAAGAGTTTCTACACGTCGAAAGAAATCTTTAGCAGAGTGAAAAGAAAACCCACAAATTGGGAAAAAATCTTAGTGAATGGTCACTCAAAGGACTTCTGTCCAGAACACATAAACAATTTTAAAAAATCAGATCCCCCAAATTCAAAGACCCATTCCAAAAATGGGCATCTGACATGAATACACAGTTCTCAGATGAAGAAATACAAATGGCAAATAAATACATTAAAAATGTTCAGCATCTTTGTTCATTAGAGAAATGCAAATTAAAACAACACTGAGGTTCCATCTCACTCCAGAAAGAATGGCCAGGATAAAGAAAACTACCAACAACAACTGCTGGAGAGGATGTGTGGAAAAAGGAACTCTTCTGCACTGATGGTGGGAGTGTAGACTGTGGAGGTCAGTCTGGAGATTTTTCAAAAAGCTGGGATTGGAGGTTCCATTTGACCCAGCTATTCCACTTCTGGGCATATTCTCAGAAGAACTGAAATCATCATAGCACAGTGATATATGTGCACTCATGTTTATAGCAGCACAATTTTAATAGATCTTAGAAACAACTGAAATGCTCATCAACTGAGGAATGGATAAAAAAGATGTGGTATTTTTATACAATGGAGTACTACTCTGCTATAAAGAATGATCACATTGCGATAATTTATAAGTAAATGGATGCAACTTGAGACCACACTCATAAGTGAAATAAATCAAACTCACATGTATAAATATCGTATAGTCTCCCTAGCATAAGCAATGGTAAGAGTACATGAGATACAAAAAGAAAACTCAATTACAGTGAAAGGATAAGAATCTGCTTAAAGAGGAAAATATTATCTCAGGGAAAATGAAGAAAAAGGAATGGAAAATAAAAAATGTCTAAAATTATATAAACACACTTAGGATAGCTAAGATGATTGTGCTACAAACTCTATAATTTCTTAAAACAAAATAGTTAACATTCATACGATTGGAGCAATCCTGCATATTATTGTATGATAATCTGAGGAACTCTTGTAAATCATTACGTAAGATAACAACTCTATGCTCATACCACCTTGTTTTGAAGGCCTATATTGTCAGTTTTCTGGGCTCTTTGCTATTGTTGTTTATATGTCTTTTTCATTTCGTGCTTTTTCTAAGAATTTGTTTTGTTTTGTCTTGGTTTGTTTTGTTTTTCCCTCTAGTATAGAAAGGATAGGTGTACATATAGAGGCTTATGCAAATGTAGAACTTCTAAAAAGTTTATGAGAATCGATTATATAATGCATGAAGAAATGAACAGCTACTTTGAAGAAAAAGAGACACTAAGGTACCCAGTGCTGATTCCATAATGTCATGATATGAAATTCAGCAATATTCTTTGTTCAGAGTGATTTTAGCATGCTTTGTTTTGTTTAATTTCAACATACATGAAGGTATGGACAGCCATTTTGAAGAGAATGAGAGACATTATGGCAGCCATTGTTGACTTCTCTATTGTCTGGTTTTGAAGACTTAAAATGCCTTCATCATCTTGTTCTGATCAGTTTTATATTCTTTTGTTTTGTATGATTTCATTGTATATGAAGATATGGACAATTATTTGGAAGAAAACAAGAGAATACGATAGACAGTGAAGATCTCTGGTTGTCTTGCTTTGAAATCTGTGTCTCTTACATTGTTATGATCTGTCTTGTTCTGTTTTGTCATGTTTAATTTTACACTCTTTGAAAATAAAATTAAAAAATAAATCAAATTGAGTTAGATTTACAAAAGGGTTAATATAAGTCTCAGAAGTTGGATATGACCAACTTTGATACTGAAGTCTACAGCTGATTAAAAAATGTTTTTCTTAGTCATTCAAAATATAATTGAATATTTAAAATTCTAATATTTATGATTAATTGAGTATTCTGAAGGCAAAATTCCAAACTGGGATAATAAAATAATATACTTACGGGAACTATAAAGTTTAATGTGTGAAATCAGGAATCATTGAGTTGCTCTTTAAGAAGCCTAGGACAGCCTGTTGATACCTGCTATGGCTTGTATCGTTGTTCCCCCAAAGCCTCATGTGGTCATAGGTGGGGCTTTTTAGGGGTGGCTGGATCTAGAGGGTGTAGTGCTGGAATCGAGGATCTACGATTTCTGAATTAGCTCACTGGTTGGTTTGGTATAGCTCTGCAAGTGGCTAATGAGAAGGCCCACCTTGAGTGGGAGTGCTTCTGTCCCTAAGGGTGGGTGGCCTGGCCGGAATATAAGGGACAGAAAGCGCACCACTGGCTTCACTTGTCACTGGCTGTTTGGTACCCTCCTGCCTTCTGCCTGACAGGAACTGGTTCTCCTTTGTGATATCCCTCTGCCACACCACCCTGCCTTGGAGCCAGCAACTGTGAACTGAAACCTCTACAAACTGTGAGCCATATAAACATTTCCTTTCCCTTTGAGGGTCATGTAATTTTGTCTTAGCAATGAGAAAAATAACCAAGACAATGCCCTATGTTGTTATCAGAGACCTGTCACGTGTTACCTGTATTTTTGATTTAAATATGTTTTAAGTTTCCTTTTGTTATGAGCAGTATCGTTTGCAACACTGCTTGGCTGCTGACTGCCCTAAATAAAAGATGTAATTAATGGAAACCACGCAGTCTCCTCTAGGAATACCCACTGCTCCTCCCTTTGGGCTTAGAGTATTAGTCAGCTGGAAAACTCGAGAGATAAGGAAGGACCTAGGACGCATAAGGCCTACTGTGCCACTCTTTAGTCACATTGCCTGTGAAAAGTTACTTACTGTACAGGCCATAAACCCCGCCTCACAGACAAGAGTTCTTAACTGTAACTGGTTAGGAGAGGAGGAAGTTTCTTGAGAAAAACCTAAAGTGTGTGACATTTGAACTTCATGATAAGCAGGTGAAGGCAAGGAAAAGGACCTTGGTAAGAAATGACATTGAGGTGGCAGATCTGGCTAGTTTAAAATCCAATCAGAAGAGACATTAGAGAATTCCAATGTTTTACTAGATTCATTCAGTATGACCAATCCTCACTGTAGGTAGATGGTAATTTCTATATGAAAGACATAAAGCATTGAATCATTTGTTATTTGCAACCTAAAAATTATATCAAAATGTCATGACTCGAAACAACAGTGATATATTAGTGCTTTAGATTTTGTCATTTGCTTTGTTGACACTTCTCTGGGTCTTGCGTAGGCTTAGTCTCATGGTGGAGGTCAGCTGGGACCTGTAAGACTGCTTGGCCTCTCTTTCTTTGTGGCTTCTTCTCCCTTTAGAAGCTGGCCTTGCTGGTTTGGCTGGTATTTCAGGGTCCCAGCAATGACAGAGGGCACCTCTAATGCACAGGTCACCATCAGTCCTCTGCTCAGCCTTAGCTCACATCTGCAAAGTTACATGGCCAGATTCAGAGTCTATGGGGGTGGGGTGAAAGCTAATCCAAGGTGGGTTAGAGGGAGGTGAGAACAAATTGGTGCCATTACTGTCATCTGTTCGGTATTTTCAAATATCTTTAATGAGGAGCATCAAAATATCCTAGGAATACCTGCCACCAAAGAGCAGCCTTCATCTAGATCAGTGCTATTTAATACAGACAAATGTAATTATACGTAAATTAGGATTTGGATATGTTTTGAATGTGCCCCCTAAAACTTCACATTCTAAAACCTTGGCACCCTATGTGGTGGTGCTGAGATGGTGAAACCTTTAAGAGGTGGGGACCTAGTACAAGGTGATTAGGTCCCTGGGGTTTTTGTCCTTAGAGGGATTAGTGCTGACCTCACAGAGTGAACTCCTCTCACGAGTGAGTTGCTACATCAAGAGTGATCCTGACTTCTCCGTGGTCTCTTGCTTCTGCTTCCTGTTTCACTGCGTGAGCTTCTTCTCCATCTTGCTTATGCTCCCACCATGATGCCAGTTATCACATTGTGGTGTAGTGAGGAGATCCTCACACAGTTGAGGAGATGATGGCACTTAGACCTCCAACACTGTGAGCTCTCTCACTCTTTCTGTTTTTTTGTTTGTTTGTTTGTTATGTTTTTTGTCTTTTTGAGACAGGGTGTCACTATGCAGTTTAGGTTGGCCTTGAACTCTATATCCTAGGTGTCCTTGAACTCAGTGATTCTCCTGCCTCAGTCTCCCAAATGCTGAGATTACAGGTGTGTACCACCACACTTGGCTGTGAGCTCTTTTTCATAAATCTTCACCATGCAATATATGCAGCCTCAGATATTTTGTTATAGCAACACAAAATTCACTAAAACAATATATAACTATAAAATGAAATTTCCTGGGAGTCACATAAAAAATGAAACACACAAAATTAATTTTAATACTATATTTAACCCAGTAAATCCAGAATAGTGTCATTTCAACATCTACTTAGTATAAAAATTACGAAAAAATTTACTGTTTTTGGTACTAAAACTTCAAAATCTAATGTGCAATTTACTCTTTTTTTTTTTTAATTGCTACCAGAGATCGAACTGGTGACCGCCCCACTTGCAAGGCAGGTGCTTATGCCACTGAGCTAAATTACCAGCCCCATGCAATTTACTCTTATGGCACACCTTAGACTTTCTTCTTTTTTAAGTGCAATGATTCAGGATCAATTTTAGAGCTTGTTTTTAAAAATTATGTCAATAGACTACAATTATTTTTCAAATTCAGTGATCCGCAACTCCAGAATACCTGCTCCAACTTTGTCACTTATTTGGGCAACTTAGTAAGATACTGTCTTCAAAACAGAATAAAAATGGAAAAGGGTTGGGAATAACTTAATGGTAAATTCTCAATGATAAAAAATTTATTTATATAATCCATCATATTGATTAATCAAAAGAAAAATACACTGAAAGAATCCCTTTGTATTAATATTCAGCAGCGTTAATAATTAAAACAAACAACAACCAAACAAACAAATTAACAACATCAACCCAAATTGCTAGTGAAATAAAATACATCACTTAACTTGCAGAAGATCAGAGGAAAGCATCCTTAGGCAATTTTATTGTACCAACACCATAGAGTACACTTTCACAAATTAAGAAACCTACAACATCACTACATCATGTGATCTTTTTGCCCTGCTGAGACAACATCCAATAAAAGTGGGGAGATTTACTTAGCTCACAGTGTGTAGAGGTTTCAGTCCATATTGGCTGGCTCCAAGGCAGGGGGTACATGACAGAGGGGCAAAAGCTCATGGTGGTGGAAGACAGCAGAAGTAAGGAGCAAGGAGAGAGCCGCTTTCTGTCTATTTTATCTTATCCAGACTGCCTGGATTAGAGTGGTGCCAATCCAGTCAGTATCCAGCAACCACCCACCTCTAATCCCAGCACTGCACACGCTAGGTTCAACCACCTGTGAAAAACAAAACAGAATAAAACAGAAGTAAGCAAACAAACGAAAAAACTCTGACTGCAAACTCTGACTGCATGAGGTTTTGGAGGGATATCTAGACACACACCATAACACTCACCATCATCATCTATGTCCTTCATTGAAGCTTTACTGTGTGATCTGTCCTTGACTGAAGCTTTATTGTGTGGCTCCGGACTCAGAAGGGTATTACCTTCCGCACAAAGAATATCTACTTCAATCAACGGTCAACATTTGAAGTGGTGAAATAGCAAAGGCATTCCAAGTAAGTTCCATATTGCTTTTTAATATTGACCTGGGAGGGCGAACCCACACAATTAAATAGAAACCTAAATTTAAGGGTGGGCATATTGGCAGAAGGAGGCAAAATTTTTAAAAATCCCCACTCACAGTAGCAGCAATGACAAAATTAATAGAATTTCTATGAAGTTGTAGTAGATTAAAAATGACAATAAGTGACAAATAAGAAGGACAAATTAAATTAAAAATGACAATAAATTCTTTGCCGCTTGGCCATTGTGACACTAGCACTTGGGACGTAACAGAGGCTTTGAGCGTTGCTTGGGCCTTGGAGCTTGTCTGAGTCAGTCAGCTTGGCTCCCGTAAGGGAGATGCGAGGACTCTTCTTGGAAGAGAACTGAGACGTGTAGGCCTGACATCACGAATCCTTTCTGGAGAACTTCTGTCCCAGCCAGTCAAATGCAGTCACGTGAATGAGTCCAAACAAGACTCACAGTGGAACCACTCATCAAACTGGGGAGAAATATTGAATTGACTATCAATTCTTGGGATCCTTTGATATGTAGCAACAATCAGCTAATATAGAAATCAACTGCTTGAGAGACCTAGAGCGAGCTGTAGTTAGTATTTCAGAAGTGGTCTGTGCTCTTTCCTTATAACAAAGGGATATGAGATCTAGAAAGATAAGTGAAGGAAGTATGTGGGCTTGTCTCTACAGTCAGTCTCCAGAAATGCCTTAGGTCATTGGTTCTTTCACTGAGTGTCCACTGAGAGTTTGCTGGGCTTGGCTCTGGTGGCAAGAAACTAGCTCTATATAATAAGGGACAGGAGTATTTATACAGTCATGATATCAAGTGATAAACACTACAATAAAAGTACATACAGAGTGTTGTCACTAGGTGCACTGGGCCAAAGTGGGAGGGTCAAAGTGACATTTGCACGGAGTCACAAAAGATTTGTGAGTCATGGAAAGACAGTCCTTCCCTGTGAAAGGGTAGTCCATCAGAGCTGAGGTCAAAGCTCGGGAATGTCTCAGTATTAGTTGAAATCTGATCAATCATTGGCAGTCTGAAGCAGTACAGTGACATGAGGACTTGACTGCATTTGCCACTTGCCCTTTGCTGACCTTGTCCTGAAAACTCATTTTGGAACGTCTTCCCCCAAAGAATCCGAACTTCAGCTAACTCTGCACCATGGTTTTTTTTTTTTTTAAAGAAGTTCCAGCTAGGGAGTCTATAAAATGAACATGCTTCCTGCAATATACAACCAGAGGACGCAGGATTTGTACTTTGTCACGTTTCTGACAAAGGAGCATTAACTTGACAAGAGTATTGACCCTTCATTAGTTCTATCCAAGTGGTTGAACATAATTCCTCACATGACATTTGAGTAGGATATGAAATTGGAAATTTAGTCCATTTCTTTCCTGGCATAAGGTGGAAAAGGAGCTCTACTAGTTTTAACCAGTTTCATTTTCCACATCCCCTTTATTACTGAAATAAGCCACTGAAGTTCCTTATGGTATGTTTGAGTACCATTTATTAGAATTTGACCTCAGTATTTGCATATGTAAGAGGGAAGTGTGTTTTCTGAGAGCTTTAAAATTCCAGTCATCACCTGGCTAATGTTTTAAATCTCCATAGATACACAGTAAACAAATGTATCAGGCACCAGCCTACATCCTCATTCAGAGTTACACTGTTGACAGTGTTCAGGAAGTGGTGCTCCACTAGACACTTGATACACTGTTGCTAGTGAATGTGGAAATAAGCCTTCTCTTACTTTTTAAAAAGCTAGGTGTTTTGGTAAAACTGGATAGACTGTCAGAACAAGCCACTTGGAAATGAAGAACAGCTTAAAATCATCTTATCTCATCTTTGTGATATGCTTTGTTTCTGTTCATTTCAGTGACTATTTCCTTATACATTTAGTTCTCTTCCATTTTTGTTCCTTTAAAAATATGTCCACTTATTTCTTTGTTCTTCTTGAGTAGCATAAACCTCTCCCCCTTGACACACACTTTTATGTTGCTGGGTATTGGTGTGGGTCCTCTAGAGGAACACACCATAATTTAAAGCAGAGAGATGGCTTCCTATAAGTGAGGAGCAGAGGATGTCTTGAAGTTTTACAAGATAATCTGTACCCAGCAGATGAAGGAGAAAAAGGATCCAGACAGAAGGAGCAAAACTATGGAGAATGGATCATCAAGTGTGCAAATTTATGAATGTGTGTGCACATGCACACATCTGTGTGTGTATGTGTGTGTGTGTGATCATGATGAAACACGAGCCAGGTTCCGAAAGAACCTGCCTGATGTTCTGGGAGCATGGTCTGCATTCTGAGAATTCTGAATGGTTTCAAAGCAGAGTATCGATAGGCTCTCATTTGGTTTTGAGCCATGACGGCATAAAAGATGGAAAGAAAGGGAGAAAAGGAAGTAACTGGTACCTTTCAGGTGACGATGTTAGACTTAGACCACACCAGACACACTGGTGTTAGGAAAGAAGACAAGCTTAAGGCGATGGTGCTCGAAGGAGCGGTCCTCGGCCTCGGGATGGGTGAACGCTGGAGCCAGGGCCCAGAGTGAGGGGAGGGAAAGAGGACACTGTGGGGTCCAGTCTGGGCTGGGACTCTGGAGAGATTAGAGAGCAACATTCCACAGAAAACTCCGAGGTCTGATCTGGGTCGGGATGGGGTCTGACACCTTTCCTTCAATAGCTATGTTGCTCCTTAGGTTTGCCAATAATTTTAGGATTCTCCACTGTTTTCTCAAACATTTGCAGCCTGAGTTTAGTGCCACTTTCCCACATAAACCAAGAAAAATTTCACACTCTTTCCTTTCTCTCTTTCTGCTAGGATGTACTATTCCAGTGCTGAACGTGGAAGTGAGTATAATCGGGTCAACCCACATGGAAGGCGAAGGGACCATCTGTCATACATATTTCCTCCCAAGAACACAGGGCTGCCATTCCCACCTTCTCGTGCAGCCTGTCTTTATAATTATACATCACACTTCATCTGCTCCTAATTTCTGTTTCAATATTCTTAGCCCATCCAGGGGGAAGCAGTAGATGGCGTGACAACTTCCCTGGCCGTTTTCAGAGAATTAGTTTTGCGTTCAGTGTGGTTAGTTTCTTGGTGCCTATAGAGGAGGCAGAGGGACAGAGAGCACGCACTCTTCCTCTCTCCAAATGTCTTCTTAAAGTTCTTAGAAACTCAGGTTGGCAACAGTTCCATCCCCACGGCTTAACTGTGACAGAGAGATACATGAAAATATCCTGGGAGTCTCCGTGGCCAATCACAGCAAGCACCTTCCACAAAAGTAAAAATACAAAAGCTGCTTCTTATTGCTTTGCTTATCTGTGAGCCCAGAGCAGATTTCAATGAACACTTATGGAAAGACTCAGTCAGAAATTTCTGACCTTTCAACTCCCCAAATGATCCACTTTGTATTTCACAGCTCCATTGTTTTAACAAAAGAATCATGGCAGTCTTAGTTTCTAACCTGGTTCCACATTATTCTGAAAGTTATTGATGTTTCACATACATTTTGACTCTCATTAGAGCTAAATCACCATTTTAAAGACAAAGACCCCAACATTGAATGGAAAGAGGCCTCACAGAGAGAACTTCAACCCAGAAATGGTGCTCATTTGAATGGATTCTGGTATGCACGTTCAGGGATGATCTTCTAGTGACTGAGATGAGCTTTTCTAATTAATATGTATTAAATAAACAGAATACGAAGGTTTGGGTTTCTCCATAATTCCATGATCATGAGCTACATCTCAGAGTGTTGTACCAATGTTTGTCAATGTTATTTTAATGTATCAAGTTATCTGCATATGTGATTAGGCATCAAATCAACACACCAGGGGTGAGTTCGAAATGCATCTGTATTCTTTTTCCATGGTTCAATTTTCCTGACTCCTCTTAGGCCAGGATACCGCCAGACAGCTGCTTCTTTCTGAGCTAAGATTCCTCCAGGTGAGCCACGGCATTGGCCCCCACTGTGGGAGCCATTTGTGTGTATTGTGAAGGTAATCCCCGACCCCCTGGAACTGAGCGGGGACTTGAATTTATTCAGGATTTCGGTTCCCATTATGAGAAACTACTTTTGCAACTTTATTACTTAGAGTGGGATTTCAGATCACAGGTACAGTTCAAAATGAGTGGATTTTAGCAATTTCTGCCCATGATGAAATTGAGCTGATGTGTTTTTCCTAACGAAACCATCATCTCTACCGTTTCCTGGAAACTTTCCGGGTGCCTGGCCCCACAGCCACCCCTGCAGTTTCTTGTTCTCTTGCACCAGGTTGTGAACTGTGACTTTTTCCGTGCTTTCCATGTTTGGCAGACTTCAAAGCTAGGAAGCAGCAGAACCTGACCATCTAGGAAGAACCAGTTCCTCATCCACCACCAGGGTATGGCAGAGACAATAGAAACCCGCCCTCAGAGGAGCAGGGCGAAGGGGTTCCTTCCTAGGTCCCTCCTCCCCCGTTCCTGCACCTCCCTCCTGCAAGTCTCCCTTTCTCAACCCAGTATCCAGCGTTTCTCTCTGGAATCCTTTACCTCCAGCCTTGGATGAATTTCCCTTCGAGTCCACAGCTGTTCTTGTGACGTTCACTTAAAAGTGTGAAGTGACTGGACGTCAAAGTCCCATCACAAGCTCGCACAGTTCCTCTCCTTAGTCCCCTCCCTGGAGCTCTCACGCTCGGGGTGTTGCTTCCTTTCCAGGCCCTGCTCTTGCTTCTCCACGCTTCCGCCCACACGTGTGGACTCTTTGGGACTCAAGGGAAAAGGAGGAGTTGGACGGTTGAAAGGTTATATATCCAACTGGCAGTTAAAATCGATCCACGCAGGTGTGGCGGGCAGCCAAATACCGATCGATTCTTTATCTTTGGGGCCCTCTTGTGGGGATGTTAGAGACACCCACCTGCACGGCTGATTCCTGGCTGGCCCTCTGACTTCTACCCGCGTGGTCTCAGCTTGTAGCCTTTTAGAAATGAGGCCTGGGGGAGAGAGACATCAGTGCGTGTGTTCCCTCCTCGCTTAAGTTTCTGCTGTCTGTCTGTCTGTCTCATTTGGTCTGAAGCAGGTAAATTGAGGAGGGGAAACCCCACCTTCGTCATTCCCACTAGGGAGAATTGAATAGAATAATCCTCTTCACAGATGACTCCCCACCAGCCTGTCTAATGAAACTTTGATCTTGTTGGGGAGCATCATGACTGCAAGACAAGCTTGGAGATAACTGCAAGCCTTACGGGCACCGCAGGCAGCCTGAGTAGGGTGTGGGGGTATGCGACACCTCTGGTTCGTCCTTTTGGTCCAGACTGTCCTTACATTTAAGTTAATGTATGCGTCTAGGAGTTATTACCCCTGCTTCCTCTTTTTTTTTTAATGATGAAATTAAGACTCAGAAAGGTTACATAAGCTGCCTAAGTGCATATGACCCAGAAACAGAGAAAGGTCAGGACGCCTGAAAATTTCCAAAGTCCACTTTTCCATCTGAATTGACAAACTGAGCAGTGAAGAAACTGAAAAGACATGCACTATTAATATTTCTTTAGAGTAAGACACAGGAGGATACTGTGGTGGTTTTGACTTTAGTTTACCTTTGATCCTTGCATGACTCTCTGTGGTGCTGACACTGGGGGTTGATTTTCCAGCTGACATTGTATTAGCTTCCTAGGGCTGCTGTCCAACCTAGTAACACAAACCAGGTGGCTTTGGACAGCAGATACGTTTTTCTCCCAGTCCTGGAGGCTGGAAGTCTGACATACAGATGTCAGCAGGGTGCTGGTTCCTCTGAAGGCTCTGGTTCCCTTTCACTTCCAGCATTTGGAATAATCTCAATAATCTCCATTTCCATGGTTACCTGGCCTTCTCCCCTTTTGTCTGTGTTCAAATTTCCCTTTTCTTAGAAGGCCCAGTTATACTGGATTAGGGGTCTATTCTAATTATGGTACTTAGTTGACCAATTGTCAGCCTGAATGAGAATGCCCAGCTGAATGGAGTCAGCACGATTCTGGGCATGGAAGATCCTCTCAAGGAGTGTTGCTATCAGAAGAGGATAAAAGGAGAATGGGAGGGGTGGATTTCAGCTGATTTTCCTCAGAAGTGCTTCATTCCGGCTGGCTTTCTTCAGCGGGCTTCAGCCATTCTCTTGAGCTGAGCTCTGGTCTTGGTCTTCACTAAGGATGGCTGTTGTTCGCTTTGGAGGAGAACCCTTCCCTTCGCTTTCAACTTGGATGTTGTCTCTGGGCTTTCGGCACAGACTGCAGCTTCCAGCATCCGTCCTTGGGCTTCCCAGTGCAGCCCCAGAGATTCCTTGGCCTCCTGAACTGGACTTGCATGGGACATCGCTGTGGGCTCTAGGCCTTCAGTTGGACTCTTTAGTCTCTAGCGGGCAGATAGATCTCTTGCACTCTTGTGTATTTCACTCTGTGGACAGATACTGCAGATACTGTCAGCTAATCTTGTTAATATCTGTGTCCTGCACTAAATTTGCTTCTCGCACAATACGGACTACAGTACCACTCCAGTGTGACTTCATCTTATCTATTTAATATCTGCCAAGGCTCTGTATTAGTTGCTTTCTTGTTTCTGCAACAAAATGCCCCAACACCTGCAATTAAAGGATTACAGCTTTTTTCTGGCTCATGTTTCAGTGCATGCAGTCCATGGCTAGCAGGCTCCGTGGCAGAATCTGCATGGCGGAACCTAGCAGGACCCGTGGCAGCCAAGAGTGGAGAGGGAAAGAGTAGCTGGAATGAGGATACATCCCTCCAAATCCTGCTGCAGGCCCACACCTTCAACCAGGCCCCAGATCCAAACATGAGACTCTCAGGGGACATTCTAGATATAAACCGTAACAGACTCTGCTTCCAAACAAGCTCACATTCTGAAGTACAGGGAGCTAGCATGCCAACATATTACTGTATTTAACCCATAACAGCACTCAATTTGATCCGGAGAGAAATCCCCAACAGAGGACTTTTTGAAGAAATCTGAAGTTATCTTTGAACTTGTAAAGAGCAGGGAAATTTATGAGGAAATTTCTTGGGATGCTAAATCGCTACAGAAATAAATTTTAAACACAAGACATCACTTGGTTCTCTCTGTGTTGTCTCTAAGAGAACTAGCAAAGTGGTTTCAACCACTCTGCAAGGTCAAGTCATAGAAAACTGCTCCTGGCTGCCAACCTCTGGAGCCTGTTACTAAGAGATGCATACTTACGAAATACAGAGTCATCTGAAGGGTGTTTCTGAGAAACCAGTCAAGGGGACTGGGCAGTCCTGGTCAGCAAGTGGCATACTGCACTTGGCTAGACTCATTATCGAAAATTAAAACAGTACTTACTATGTAGTTTCTATATCAAGTACATGCTATATAATGTACAAACTTTAATACATTTTATCTCAAATTAAAACTAACATGTTTATAGTATCTTGGTACAAAACATATTTTAAGTAGTTATGTCAATGATATCTAATGAGGCTGGCTGTGGGGGTGCACACCTGTAACCCCGGCACTCCGGAGGCTGAGGCAGGAGGGTCGCTGCAATTTTGAGGCCAGCCTTCCTACATAGTGAGTTCAAGGCCATCCTAAAGTACATATTGAGACTCTGTCTCTAAAATAATTTTAATATAAAATGAATATAAATGGAAAAGCTCTCAGTAAGCCTTTTAAAAAGTCATTCCGACAGTGCTGAGTAAGTGAACACGCTCTTACCTTCTGGACATGCAATGGGTCGATTGCTTTGTGCATAAACTCGCCACTGGAGTCTTCGCCTTGCTAACAAGTAGGCCCTGGCTTCTGCCCTTCCACCTCCGCAGCTTTCTCTGCTCATTCTCCTGGGTCCTCAACGGGACCCTGTGAACTCTGCATCCTCCACATCGCCATCGCGGGCGTGGAGAGGACGCCCAGAAAAGATCTATTTTAGGACAGTGGGGCTGGCACAGCAGGGGCCAGTTGCCCCGGTACGGCGGGGCCGTGACACTGGGCAGACCCGCAGCCTGGCAGCCCCCCCACCCACCCGGGGCGGGTCCCGCGGCGCTGAGCAGGGCCGGAGCGAGCGCTGGAGTTGCGCAGCTCGCACGTTCGGGCGCCACCAGCTTCTGCTCGCGCTGAGGGCTTGCAGCGCGGGCGCTGGTCCTCCGGGTCTGGTTTCAGGGAAGCCAGGCCTGGGTCAGGTGCAGCCTCTCACCGCAGGACCCTGAGCTCGCGGCTCCTGCACCAGCCCTGCCAGCTGGTTCCCGGCCCGTCCCAGGACGGCTTAAACAGGAAATACCTGTAGTCAGAGTCCACGTGTGTGTTAACGCACGCTAACCACAATAAGCACATTTTAGGATGTTGCCTGAGAAAAATCAGAATAACCGCGCACTCGGCTAGGCGGCGCTCAGCAATCCCTGGGAAAATCTGCACGCAGCACCCTTGGGTCCCAACGCGGTCTAGGACTCAGCCAGCGAAACAGCGGAGAGCCGGCCGCGTGCCGCGTGCCGCGTGCCTTGGGAAACTGCTTCAGCCTCCCTCATACTGGGGTGACACGTTCATGTTTTCTATTCCTTTTCTTCTCTGTATGTTTATGACCAAAGCAAAAACGTAAAAGCAGATAAACAAACAAAAACAACAACAAAAAGTTCAAATTCACTTCAACAGTTGCTTTGTGACTTTAGAATTTTAAGGTGAAAGAAGTCTGATCCAGAATCAAGATTTGTAAAATCTAACCAGGAATAAAAACACTTACCTAGAAAAAAAATTGTATTTTAAAATGTCAGTGAAATAAATGATTGAACTTATTCCTCCAGGGAAATCTGTCATGGTTAAAAGCAAAGTTTGATCTTCTGTAGCCTGTAGACCTTGCTATGCATGAAATCTGAAGTTGTATTAAGGTGACTAACTTGAAGAGTTACGACAGCTGGAACCAGATAGCCTTTGATGACTTTAAAACGCGTTCAGTCGTCTTGTAGGACAGATTTGAGAGGTAACAGCTTAGCTGGAGGGCTGCCAACTTAGAAGTCAAATTCAGGCTTGATGAAGGCAAACACTGAATAGCGATTAAAAGGCTTCCTGTATTTAATTACAGATTGTGAGCCATCAAGAAACATAAAGATAAAAATAAGGCCAATTATACTGCTTGGCATGTAACTGTGATTGTAAGTAGGAAGACCAAACTACTCAACCTTTGCTTTTGTGATTTAATAGAATGCAAGGACCAGAAGGGTCTAGAGAAAGAATTAAGGTCTTTGTAATATTTGTGTTTGATGTTCATTTTTAAAAATTTGGCTATATGGGAAATTCATTGTGTTTTCAGTTTTCTCATGCAAAAAGTGAAGACAGCAATATCTGTGGTATAGAGTGACTGCAAGAACTGAAAGGACGTGGCAGTGCGTGGTGCCGTCTTCCACAGTCCATCCTTGACCTCACGTCCTCTTTCAGGTACTGCCCTGGGCCCTGCTTCCAGCCCACACACACTCTCAGGAGGGCCAGCCTCCTGCCTCCCTTTGCACCTTGTCCTGTCCAGTCAGCTCTCCGGCCCTAGTTATACAGAAATGACTCTGACCACATCCCAGGGTGAAAGCCACGCATCTGTTAACTCTCACAGTAAGTTTTCTGCCCACTGAGCAGCCTCTGGCTAAACACTGTTCTCTTGGAATACACCTTTCTCCAGGCTCCGCATTTAAGCCTGGGGCTCTGCCGAATGCACCTTCATTCTCTTGTGTCTAGTGTGTGTGTGTGTGTGTGTGTGTGTGTGTGTTTCAGGTCTAAAGAATTTGCAATCTTTTTCTTTTTATATTTTTAATATGATGTCATTTTGCTCTCTGTGTGTATTAGGTTCCATATAGAAGTTATATTAAGTATAGGTAGAAGTTACCAAAATGAGTAGGATCTAGTCTTTTGGGAAATTTTAAACCTGTAAGTAAGGGAAGCACATAAATAGATATTTCACCCCAAGTTATGGAAGTGTACACATGTTTCAAAGTGTGTCAGACAAACCAATTGTAATCATGCTGCTCAGTGGTATTGCATACACCCAGAAAGTTGTGTAACCCCATCATTTGCACAGAACTCTCATCATCCTCAGCATAAACTCTGTACCCACTGACCGACAATTTTTTCTTTTTCTTTCTCCTGTTTTCAGGCAGCCTCTGTTCTACTTACTGTCTTTATGACTTTGCCTATTCTAGGTACCTCAAATAAACAAAACCACAGAATATTTGTCTAGCATCTGCCTTATTTCACTTAAAATAATGTCTTCAAGAACCCATGGTACAGCATATTGCAGGATGTCCTTCCTTTTTAAGATCCAATTTTGTTTATTCATTCACCTGTGCATACAGAGTTGGGCATTTCTATCTCTTTGCTACTGTGAATAATGATGCTATAAATGCAAGTTTACAGAATTTTTGTAAGACTTCTTTCAGTTCTTCAGAATCTGTACAAAGGAGATAAATTTCTGGAACTACAAATGGTAGTTTCATATTTAACTTTTTGAGGTTAAAATATAGAACAGGTTCCATGATGACTGTGCTGTCATATATTCTGAGCAGCTATGAATAAGGGGTCCAATTTCCCTACATCCTCACAAACTTACCTTCATGTTTTTTGATAATCACCATTTTAGTAAAGGAGATAAATCACATTCAGAATTCAGATTGTGTAATGGATCAAATGAGAGGAGTGAATCAAATGTTATGAGAGTTCTAAAAACTAGAATGTGAAGAGATACCCCTGCTCCATTGCAGTAAGGTATGTATGTTGAGCACTGTTGTAGTGTACAGATTGTGCATTCTATTCTGTGGGTGCTCACATATACCTTTATACCTGATGGTTCCCTCTCTGGGGTGGCCGATAGAGTAGCATACATAAACTGGTCCAAGAAGTAATGAAGTTGACTGGTTTACTTGTGACCAAACCCTCAGAGCACCACATCTAAACCCATTCTGTTTATGGCCCCAAGTCTCACCACCCACTATGTGCTCCTCCAAGCATCCATCCAAGTTCTAATAGGATATAATCACAGATTTTGCAATTATGATGTGATTTATAATTTAACGATCTAAAAACTTGCAGAACATTTACTTGGCAAGCAGTTTTATAAACGAATGTTAGTCTCCAGTACATCTGAAAGATCTCACTTAACTTACAGGGAGTAACGGTATTAGAAGGACCTCAGAACTTTAGGTTTTGCTCCCGGGTCCCTTGTACACTTACTGCCCTCCAAGGCAAAGGAGTCGTAGTCTTCTGTTTCTGCCCTTCGCTGCCGACTTCTCATCTTGCCTCGCCCACACATTTCAGGAGCTGAGGTCCTGCTTTGGTGATTCTGATGTGG